GTAACCAGCCAGCTGCGCCAGGGCTGAGGGAAGCGTCCCCTGCGGGAGGGGGCTCAGGGCTGCCTGACTCCCGTTGGAGCCCCCCCTCTGCCCCAGTAGGGCGGCGGCGGAGGGCGCAGGATGGCCCCGAGGGGGGAGGGGGCGGCAGCTCTTCGGCCCCAGCCGGGTATTGGGGAAGCGGCACCTCTGGTGCTCCAGCGCTGAGCCGCGCTGCCCAAAGCCAGGCCGGGGCTTGCATCTCTGGGCACCTTCGAGGGGGCTCCCTCCGCGGGCTACAGAAGGGCTGGGAAGCGTTGTTGCCCGAGGGAGGCAAAGCGGCCGGCTTCCCTCCCGGTCCCGAACCGCTCTCCGCCTTTGCAGGGAGGAAGCCGCCCTCCCCCGAGGACTCCCCCCCCCTTGCTTCGGGGGCAGCCGAGTCCTTTGGAAGGAGGGGGGCAATTTCCCCCAAAGGGAGCCCTCCTCCTCCTCCTCCTCCCTCCTCTGCCCACTGACAAAGGGCCTGCCGGGGTCTTCCTGCCTGGCAGTGCCAGCCTTTCGGGAGCGAAGATCCCCTGCTGCTTTGGGGGGGGGGGAGGGTTTGATCTGGCACTGGGGAATGTCTGCCTTTCTGAGCCTCTGCAGGAGGATTGGCTGCCTCTGCTCTGGGCCCCTGGCCCCGGTTGGCCGCAGCTCCTCTTCATTGGAAGGGATGCCCCGTGTCTTCTGGCCCACAGCAGTTTATTTGCCACGGTTGCATTCAAAGTTCAGCCTCCATAAACATCACTAAATCTTGGACTTTGCTCATCAGTGCAGAATTGCCTCAACCTGCCCAGGTGATAAAGAAAACCTTACCTGGGTGTTTCCTCCAGACCTTGAACTCTCGGGAGGGCCTGGGGGAGCCTGTGCTGCTTCCTCCTCCGCTGAAGAGGGAAGCAGCTTTGGGGAGCCTGCAGCCGGAGGGAACAAACAGAGTTAGAGGGTGCATGGAAATTTAGGGGGGAGAGGAGCAGGGAAGGCTCCAGATACCCCAGACAAGCAGGGAACAGCCGCCTGTGACCTGCTGCAGTGGAGTTTGTGTCTTTATGGGGGGGAGGGAAGGACTTGAGGAGGGGGGGGGGTCCACCACTTCCCAGGCAGAGAGAACACGCTGAGGATTGCTGCTTTAGATTTCAAGAGAGAGGATCCCAACTAATGGAGAGCAGAGCAGGAAGAATTCCAGGGATGAAGGTCCTTAGGGGGAAAACAGTTGGGGAGAGTTGGGAAACCTGAAAAACGAGATAACTGGAGCCCAAACCCAATCAATGCCAAAGAGAAATCCAGTGGGAGACCTTCCCGATGGGGCCACCGTGGTTGCTCCAAAAGCTCCCTGGTGGACTGGGGAAAGGCAGAAGTTTAACCAATGGAAAGGGGCACATAGAGAAAACAGAACATCAGCAAATAACCCGAATCTGCCCAGATGGAGTCAGGGAAGGTCAGCATGAGTGATGAACAACAAAGAAGGCTCTTTGGGTATGTCTGGAGATTAAGGAAGCAGACGGTCCTAGGCTGTGGAAGGAAGCAGTGAGGGTGCTCTCTGTAGTCTTTGACAATGCTGGGGGTCCACAGGAAACACCAGAAGAATGGAGAAGACCTCATGCTTTAGAAAAGGGGGCTCAGGAAACGGTAGACCAATTGGCTTAACACCAATCCTACCAGAAGGCGTTGGGTTTGCAAGACTTCACCAAAGCTTTGGTCCTTTGATAAAACGGCCTATTGCCCCATCCTTCTTCCACTAGGAGAGTGTGGGCTGTTCCACCAGATGGAGTTGCCGTTGGTTGAACATTCATACCCAACACTTGGTCCTTCATGGGCTTGTGTCCACCTGGGGGCAGGTATTCAATGGGACATCTTACAGCTCTGTCCCGCCTCTGTTCTTCCTCAGCCTTCTTAGATCTTAAATTGGGGTGGGTGGGTTGTCAATGAGATGCTCATCAAATTTGCAGATGGCCACAAGCTGGTAGAAATTCGGAAGCGTCTCAGAAGATGGCTCAACGTTCAAAGGACTCTTGAATATTGCCCCCCTTTTAAAAAGGGCTATTTAGCAGCAAGAAATAGGAAAAGCCAGAGGCCCAGGGAGAAAAAAAGGATTCTTTTCCGGAGTGATCTGAGGACCCTTGCCCTAGTCATGGGGTTGGACTAGAAGACCTTNACTCCAAGCGGCTGCTGCTGGCCATGGCTGGAGAAGATTCCTGTGGCTTTTGGCACGTAACTCGGTTGAGTTGGGCCTTCGAGTGTAGATCAGGTTCCTTGCGCCTGACCAAGGATCGCGATGGGCCGATTCCTGGAGCTTCCTGTTCCTTGGCTCTTCCACAGAGTCAGAAGTGAGTTTGTGGAGAAGCAGAAGCCAAGAGAAATCGCAGGCTGTCTTGGTGGTGGAGGAGGAGGAGGAGGAGGGGGCTCCTGCTTGCCCTTCCCTGGCTCCAGGAGTCTTTGACCTGAGCCCCCTGCCTTCTTGGGTGGCTGGGCAGCTGTGCGGAGGGCAAATCAGGGCTGGCGGTCCAGGCACCAGATGCTGCTCCAGGGATGGAGAGATCAGCTGACCTGGCAGGAGCCTTGGCAATAGGTTCTCCCCACCAGCCTTCTGCCTGTCCAGGGGATGGGGAGATGGGGGAATTCTCTGCTGCCAAAGGGGCTCATGCCCTGGAAGGGCAGGCAGCCTTTGCAAGGGGCTGGCACTGCCCAGGCGACTTTTCTGACTTCCTGAGCTTGTGGGAATCACTGGGGCAGAGCCCAATTCCCCAAACCTCTCTTAGGAACAGAATAAAAGCTTGAAACTGTAAAATGAAAGACTGGAGGATGTTGGGAGGGGGGCCACGGGGGGGGGGCTTGCCTTGGGGGCTTGAAGGGGGAATGGAGGTAGCCCCCCTGAATCCCTACACAGCCCCCCTCCCCCAATAAAGAATGCAGCATTACTTTTGAGGCAGGAAAAGAGGGGCTCTGCGGAGGGGGGAGGAAATTCAAAGCCATCCTGGGGGGGGGGAAGTCCCAGGGCTCTCCCTTCTGTGGGGAGGGGGCGCGGTCAAGGAGGCTGGGGGCAAGTCCCAATGGAAAGACTGCTGGGGGGCAGGCTGGGAGGGACTCCGTAGGCCAGACCCCAGGGGTTGTGTGGGGCTGCCCCCCCCCCCCAACCGTGAAGGATCTTTGCTGCTTTGTGCTACTTTTAAGTTATCAATTTTTGTGGCTCCTGCAAAGGCTGTTGCTTGCTGTGGTTCCATGAAGGCACCAGTGGTGAAGGGTGTGTGTGTGTGTGTGTGTGTGTGTGTGNCTGTTGGAGTTTCCTCTTCCTTCCTTCTCATTAGGTGGCCAAAGTCTCTCTTCAGGATCTGGCCTTCTAAAGAGCAGCCAGGGTGGATCTCCTCTAGCACTGACCAATTGGATGGCCTTGCAGTCCATGGAAGTAACAGAAGGGACTTTAGAGAGGTTAAATGTGATATGAAGAATATCAGAAGCCACTTTATTATTATTTTTAAAAGTGTTTTTCTTTTCATGCACATTTTGCTTTTCCTTACTTTATATTAGTAGCAGTCTTCAATTTCTTTCAATTTTTAAATAAGTTAGACGCAGACGCAGGGGCTCAGAGAGAGCGACTTCAATTCCCAGCATCCCCTGCTGGTTGATCTTTGCAGGGCTGAGGAACTGGAGAACCTTTATGACTCGTGGACATGCTGGCTCAGGAGTTCTGGGACTTACAGGAAGACCGCAAGTTATCAAGGCGCCAGAGTTCCCACCTCTGAGGCAGCGGGAGGGAGTTCAAGTGCTGGCGCCCGCGGGGCTCCTCCTTGGGGAAGGCTGCGGACGGTCGGCGCGGAGGACTACGCTTCCCAGGCCTCCCCTGTCTCAGAGGGGGTGGGGCCGCGACCGTCCGGCGCCGCCAGAGGGAACTACGCGCCCCAGAAGGCTCCGCGGGAGCTGCGGTGCGCTTCAGCCAATCGGGGGCGGGCGGCGCGGCCGGGGGCGGAGCCAGGCTGCGAAGAGCACTTCTCACGCGAAAGTGGCGGCGAGCGGGGATGGCGGAGAGCGCGGGGTGCCCGGCCTTCCAGCTGGGGAAGCCCCGCTTCGAGCAGGTGGGCTGCGTGGCTGCGCGCGCCGGCATCGGGCAGGGGGCGCCTGGCGGGTGGGCTCTTCGCGTCCCTCGCCCGGGGGCTCCGCTGTCGGGGAAGAGCGGCTCCCGCCCCCTGCTGCCCGCTGATTGGGCGCTGCCGCTGTCGCTTTGCCTTCTGGAATTCCCGCCCTTTTGTGGATGCCAGGAGGACTTTTGATTGGCAGTTGCTTTCTCCAGGGGCGGGGCTTCTCCGCAGGTGGCGAGTTCGAGTCTGGCTGCGGGAAGGAGGCGGGGGAGGGGTGAGGCGGAACTGGGCCAGCTGCGCCAGGGCTGCGGGAAGCGTCCCCTGCGGGAGGGGGCTCAGGGCTGCCNATGAAGGCACCAGTGGTGAAGGGTGTGTGTGTGTGTGTGTGTGTGTGTGTGTGTGTGTGGCTGTTGGTGGACCTGAATCATTTGTGACACTGAATTGTGCCTCTGCTCAGCCCCCCCACAGCAGCCCCCTCCTTTCTGCCCCCCCTTGGAGGGCCCCTCCTACAAGCCCCCCCCCCAACCCTGCCCCAGAGAGGCCTTTCCTTGAGGACTAGCTCCTCGTTGACCAGATACTAAACTTGCTTCCCTGCTCGCTTTCTCCCCAGTTCCCAGCCTGGCCTGCCTGCCACTCCAGAGCTCTCCAAGGACCCCTGGGTGGTCTCTGAGGATCAGGGCCTCCCTCCCTCCATCCCGGCCGGAGAAGCACAGCCCTCATCCCTCGCCCCACCTGCCAGGCGCCTTCAGCCACCGCTGCCCGCAGCTGCCGCCGCCGCTCCTACGCGCCCACCTGTGGAAGGGGACGATGGCTTTGCCGCCTTTGCCGCCAGCCGCCTGCAGCCAGCCGCTCCGGGGCCCGAACCCCCTCCCGCCATGGACCCCCCAGGGGGGGCGGCTGGCCTCCTCCCACAGCAGGAGGAGGGGCCCCCCATCCCTGAGAGAGCCTCGCAGGGGAGTCCGGATTGGCTGAGCCTCGCCTATGGGGAGAGAGGCCGGGCCTGGAGTGGGTCTGGGGGGGTCCTGTTAGTGAGGGGGACATTTGGGGAGGGAGCCAACTCTGCCCCCAATGCAAGCAGCCTCCGAGAGGAGCAGGCCCCGGGGGAAGCCGCCTTTGCCCAGAATGTGGGGCGGCTGGGCTCCTCCGTACCTCTTGCCCCAGATGTGCCTGCAGAAGCCCTCAGCTGGACACCCGAGAGCTGCCCGCGTAACCGGACCATCCCTTCCTTGGCCGACCCCTCCTCGGAGCAGCTGGACTGGGACCGAGAACAGCAGACGTTGCCCCAAAGCCAGGCGGCCCCCCAAGCTGAGAGCAGCGAGCCTTCTTGGCTTCCGTGGGACCCCCAGAGGGAAGAGGACGTGGGGGTCGAGGAGGCTGCCCCGACCAGCGGAGGCCCTGCCCAGGAGGAGCAAAGGGGGCCAGCAGAGACTGAGGGGCCGAGGGGGGCAGGGACCCCTCCTCCAAAGCCATCAAGGAGGGTCCTCCCTCTCCAGCTCACCAAAGAAGCCAGTGGGGCTGGGAGGGGCACGCTGGAGAGCGCTCAGCCGAGGGGGGCAGACCCAGAGCCTCCTCCGCACCTCCCTCCTGTGGGGGTAGCCGGGTCCCCTCCAGCAGCTGCTGTCTCCCTGGTGCCAGCCGTGATCATTGGGGCAGGGGCCCCCGAGGGCCTCCCGCTGGCTGCTGCAGAGGCTCTGCTAGATGACCAGCCGGGGGGCCAGGAGGAGCCTTCAGGGGCGACCATCTTGGCAGCAGAGGAGGGGCCCAGCGCAGAGGCCCTGCAGTTCTCCACCTGCTCCTCCCAGCTCTCCTTGGGCGGGTTAGGCCTCTCGGGGGTCCCCGAGAGTCCCAGGCAGGATGGGGAGACCGGATTTGCCCCCTGGGGGCTGGAGGGGGCCTGGCCGACAGGGCTGCCTGGCTCGGCCTCACTATGGAGCTCAGAGAGATTCCCCCAGACCCCCGAGGCCTCCCAGGGCCCCCCTGAGCCCAGCCCCTCCCTGCTGTTCTGGTCTGCCTTGGAAGAGCCCGGGGGGCTGCCTGGAGTGGCCACCAGCTTGGAAAGCCCCTGCGGCCTGGGACAGGACAATGGGGCCACTGGGCTGCCCCCCTTGCCCCTGGGGCAGGAGCCGGAGGCCCCGTCAGGAGGGCCCAATGACCAAGCGAGGGACTTCAGGAAGGCTTCGTTCTGGCAGGAGGGCAGGGGGGAGGCAGAGAGCAAGCAGGAGGATTCCCCGCTGACCCCAGGCAACCCTTTTGCCCCCTGGGCCGCCCCGTCTCCCCAGAAGAACCCCTTTGTGGAGAGGCCTCCTGCTGCGGAGGTGCCCTGGGCCCAGGCTGTCATCCTTCCGGTCTCGCCCACCGTGGATGCCCACAGCCTGGGAGAGATTCCTGCAGCCACCGACCCTCCCAGGCAGCCCCGTTCTCACAGCTTCTCTCTGGAGCTCCCGGGGGGCCCCAGCCGGCCTGGCCCCCCCCGGCCCTTGGCCTTCTCCACCCCTTCCTTCCAGCCCGTCCCAAGCCCCACTGACTGCAGCCTCCCTTCTCCCCTGGGGCCCATCAGGGCAGGGGCTGCAGCGGACGGCCACCCCGAGGTGCCCCCCCTGTCCCCCTTGCTCTCTCCTCCCAGCATGGATGCCTCGGCCCCTTCGGTCCAGCCCACGGAGATGCTGCCGGCTCAAGACGCCCCACGCCAGCAGACGCCCAGGTGAGCAGCCGGGGGGGGGGGGCGCAGGTCTGTGTGTGTG